TTTTCATCCTCCGAGGAGCTCGGGACCTCGCTGGCACTGAGAATGGCTTCAGTTCACTTTGGGGAGCTCTGGTCCTCACTTTGAGCATAGCTTCCTGGTTCCGGAGGGGAAGATGATGCACTGCTGGCCTCCTGGAAAAGCTTGCTGCATTGGCTTCCCTGATGGGAACTCAGCCATCCTGATCATCGGAGGAGCTTGGGACCTCACTGTTGCCGACGATGGCTGTGGTACCTTTTGGGGGAGCTCTGGTTCTTCTGAGCATCACTTCCTGGCTCCAGTGCAGATCCCTCAGCCTGCTAGCACAGGTCCTTCTTCCTGCTGGCACAGACTTTGTAGACTCCACCACTGACCTTTGGGCCTTTCCAGCAGATCCATGAAACAGGTCTGCATGAGATGTTGTCATGGGCTCTGGGCCTCCAGTTGGATTCATGGGAGGCATTGTTATGAGCTCTGGGTATTCACCTCAACTCATGTAGGACATTGTTGTGGGATCCAGGCCCTCAGCTGGATTCCTTGGTCTTAGTGTGTGGACAGATTTCCTGCACTCTTTTGTATACTGTTCTTTGGGTGACTTATAAAAAATCATATAAAGTATGTGTCCTGTATTAAATTGTTCCCCTTGCAAAATAAGCCGCGCCAAACCAACACATGCTCTTGTGCCTGCTCGGAACATGCAAAGTCAGAGGGTGCAGCGGGTCTCCCTTGTCCTGTGGGAGCACGTGCAGGGACACGAGGCTGCCACAGGAGCAGCTCTGAATACAGAGGACCCAAGTTCTGTACAAAGTAGCCATGCAGGTCCTGGAAAGCTTCTGTGCCTTGGAGCCTGGAAGGTACTTGGTGGGTCAGAGGCCCATGGTTAAAACTGAGGGAAGAGAAAATCGCTATCATAGTAGACATTTCTTTTGTTTTTTTTTTGTTTGTTTGTTTGTTTTTCTCTGGTACCGGGAACCGAACTCACGACCTTGCACTTGCCAGGCAGGCACTTTGCTGCTGAGCTAAATCCCCAGCCCGACATTTCTTAAAATAAAACAATCAGAAAAGAAATGCACTCCAGCAGAACTATAACTGCTATAATAGTGAAAAAATGCAAATTCCAGTATTAGAATTAAAGGATCCACTGAACACAATGGAAAGCCCAGAAAGAGATCCATGTGTGTGTAAGATGCTAACAAACGAAGAAGCTATGCATTCTTAAGAGCAGGAAAACACTGGATTATTGAATAAACTCTCCATTGGAAGTTGGCTCACCACAAGGAAACAAATGGAGTAAAGTTGTTACCTTATCGTTGATACGTATGCACATTTAGGTGTAATAAAACTGGAAGAAGAAAGCATTAGAATTTAAAATTGGTAAATTGGACAGAAACTGCAAGTGAGATAGCCTTCCGCTGTGCCTGATATCTAAGACAGGGGCTGTAAAAGTATTAAGCGATTTCACTGAAATAAACATTCAATTTCTGTTCAGGATAAAGTGCTAAAAATAGTCAATGAGAGGAAGTCACAGACACCAACAGAAAGAATAGCCACATTTATCATTTATTATTATCATTCCTACCACTACAGTTATTATTATGTAAAAATACAGATGGATCAATAGAATAAATGCTAAATAATAAACAAATAAAAAGCTTTAAAAACAGAAAGACAAAAATGTGGGTTTCTAACAGGCACAGTGGTGATGCCTATAATCCCAGCACTCGGGAGGCTGAAGCAGGAGGATCACTGTGAGTTTGAGGCCAGCCTGGGCTACACAGTGAGCTCAAGCCCAGCCTGAATTACATAGCGAGACTCTATCAAAAACAAATAAAAAAAAGAAAAAATGTGGATTGTTTATAATCTTGGAGTGTGCAAATCTATTAAAATAAAGCATGAAAGTCAGATGATAGAAAATGAAGACTGAGTAAAATATGAAAGCCCAATACCTCAAAACCAAAATATGAACACAGAATTCCAATAGATCAAGTATGGTCTACACTGTAGTGAAGAAAAGATTCATTTAAAGTGAATGATTCCTTTTGAATAAATGAGAAAAAGTGAAGCTATCCAGACTGTGATAGACTAAAGCGACGATTTCATTATCGCAGCACTAATTACACCTAATCCTGGAGCTGCCTGGATTGAACCCAGAGCTCTGCATGCCCCTGTGCAGCAGGCCTGGGCACGTGGGATGAGGCATTGCTTTTGCACACCCATATGCTGGCTGTCCCCTTTGTCACAGACTCCAGTCATCCATTTGCCTGTGTCAATGTCCTCTGTCAACCTCACTAAACTTCCCTTTAAAGTCCTGTTGTCCCTGCAGAGGGACTGATGATTCAGTGTGTGATGTTCAGCTGAACTCAGGGCTTCCATATCTCTTTGCTCCTGACACACACCATGTCCCTCACAGCCATGTGTACCTAGGCTAACAGGCTCATGGGCACAAGTCATGTGCCACTCTGTCTACACTGAGAAAGTGAAACTAAAAGGCCCCAGCACGCATAAAGCAATAGCCCAGAAAGGCACAGGCACTTGGCAGAATGTTCTGGATGCACCTGGGTCAAAGATGTCCCCTGCTCCTTCCTCCAGCACAGGGACAGGAGGAGCTGCATCTACACAGTCCTGGCCACCAGGTTTCCAAATCCCACAGCAGCTAATGTGCTTCATGTGACCCACGCAGGGCGCCCAGCCACCCACAGTGGGGAGAGGAAGGTTGACGGCAGTCGCACATATTTGGAGATGGATATTTTCTTTGCATTCATTAGCTGTGACCTTTTGAAAGTGAGGCAGGTTGGCTGTGGTTTAACTGCCCTCTGCTTCCCTTCCAACACCCTCACCCCCCGCCACTGTACTGCCCCAACCAGTCGAGGCAGGTTTGACTTTGAGCTCTTCCAAGAATCAACCACATCTGACAGAGCACAGAAACAGAACAAGCCTGAGAAAGTGAAGCCCCACCAGCCACACCAGTGCCGCCTGTCACCCGTGGTGTCCCCACCTCCCCAGGCCTCTGCTCTGTGCTGCTGAAGTTCCGGGCAGCCCAGGTGGATGGGGAAGGAAGGTGCCGAGAGGTCTGAAGCCCTGGGGACCCTACCTGGGGCCCCCCTGTGACATCAGCCCCACAAAGCTGTGGGTGATGTGCCCGTTTCCTGTCTGGTGCTATGCATTGGCAGTGCAGAAATAGCTCCACTCTCTGCACAAAGGGCAGGGATTGGTCTAAATGAACCCAAACCTGGAGACTTTAAAGAGAACAGTGAGGTGTTCATCTTCATTTGTCAGTTCCTCCTGGGGTCAGTGCCCCAAGGAAAGAGACATAATCACTATCACGGGGACAGCAATAGAAATGGACCCTTTGTGAGTGGACTGGAACAGACTCACAGTCGCCCAAGGACAAGGGAAAGGATCTCTTGTATCCAATTTCCTGGTTTGGTTTCCCCCACATGCAGATAGGGCATTGAGACAGTTGACCTATCAAAAACTCACTTCGTCTGACACCAAAACTGCCCTGTGGAAAGACCTGCTTGGTCTTTCCATCAGACGTAGGACTGAAAACAGCACTTTCCTGATTGGTCCTGCCAACAGCACCAGATTCTAATGAGGGGCTGAAAATACTGCTTTCTGATTGGTTCCTTGTATAGTACTGAGGAGCTGAGTCACTAGGAGTCCTGGGTTCTGCACATGTCCTCTGGTTTTTTATGACCTTTGACGCACTCCCTCCAGATAGTTGTCTGGCTTGCCCTATCCTTCATCTACCTCAAGATCACAAGTCAAAATTCAGAAGCAGGCTTTCCACACCAAAGACTGGACTTTGTCCTTCACACTGGTGTCCATTTGAGCCTCTCTTCTGCAGTCTCTCCAACACCTACAGCAGGTCACCAATGTCAAATTCACCAGGGATTCCCCCGCAGGGTGCCAGCTTCTCCTCTCTGCCTACCGCCTGCATGCCTCAAGCTGCAGGAAATGAGATGTTAGGAGATTCTATTGAGTACTCTCCCCTTCTTTCAAATTTCTTATTTTTTCAAAACTAACTTTCTGTAACAAGTTCATACTGCTTGTATAATAGAAAAACAGACAATATAAACATATAACTTTAAACTCAGAATTAAAATTAGAAATCCTGTTTCTGGTTGAGGGTGGTATTGACTCCTGGCAGTGGGATGAAAGATGGCTGCAAATTGTGTGCAGCTCACTCTCAGCCATGCTTTCAGGTGAGTGTGCAAGAGCAAGAGCACAGGAGTCTAAGGGGGAACGTTTCCTTGCAGGGAGAAAACCGCCCATCAAAAACCCACGTACTCATGCCTGTCTTTGTAAGTTAAATGAATAAAAAAAAATACAGTAATGAAAAGAATAGCTTAATTTCTGTAAGAAAGCTGAATGCTGCATTGACAGCAAAGAAACACTAGACTACTCAGAATCCTGTAATGATCTGACCTCACCCTGTAGTTTGATATGACTATAATGATTATTTAGTGGGCTGTGGAGGAGCAGAAAAAACTAATACTTGCTGAGTGCCTGTACATGCCAAGCACTTTTATTTCACTAATCTGCATAATGATCCTAACAGGTAGGTAATGCGAGTTCTGATTTACAGGCGAGGAAACTGAAGCTCCTGGAGGTAAGTACCATGACTAAGAGCTCAGCACAGCACATGGCATGCAGTAAACAGAGTAAGTGCCATGTGAAGGGATGGCAGGAGATACAGCTGATATGAAGAGGCAGGATTCAGACCTGCTCCATCTTGTTGCAGAGCTCACACTACTTCCATCATGGTTTATTGCCTTCCGGGAAAGACTGCATGGAATTGTTTTGAACTGCTAAAAGAGATCACTGACAATGTTAACCCAGGGTAACACGTCCAGCAACCTATGATTTCCACCTTCATATCAGAGTTATCTTGATTTAAAAATGTGTGCTTGTGAAAAGAGGAGGGAAAAAAGGATTTTAGAGGGTTTTTGTAATTACTTAATATTCGAGGTACAGGAAAATAACAAAAATCCATATGAAACCAAAATGTGCATATGCAACAGTTTCTCAGTTAATATAGCTCATCCTTTATTTTTTTATGGAATTCTGCCAACTTCTTGAAAACATTCTCTATGAAAATATCATCCAAAGTGTGTTTCTCTCATTTTATGAATGTTAGGTGTTAAGTCTTTTTTCTTTGTTGCACACTTAGCAAAAATATTATTGGAGAATGCTAAAATAAATTAAATGTGGCATTCTTTCTTAGCTGTTTTACATCTTACATTAAAATATTTTACAACTGTAAGGGTTGAAAAAATAATTTTACTGCTCTTTCTGTGTATGATTGCTTGTCTACTATAAATGAGCTACCTATGGAATTAAAGCATTTTATTATTCCAAGAGATACAAGAATGTAAGGGACATATAAATATACAAACTCCAAAACAATTAACTTTGAGTAGATACACATTCAAATATTACAGAGTCAGCATATTTAGTATTTATTAGCCAGAGAAAGAGTTAAGCTTTATTCTGTATATGGCTACTATGTCTTCAAGACAACTACTTATTCACCATTATTTTTCAAAGCATTATTGTTGGGTAGGTTTTTATTGGGGAAAAGGGTTTATAAATCATGACCTTCCTCATCCAAAACCAAACAGAAACGAATTACACATGTGTATTACAAAAGATGGCAGCTGGAAGCAAAGGCTATGACCAAAAAGTCACAGGACCATTAAAATGGAAAGGCCTTTGCTTCATTCATTTATCATTTAGCATCTGATAATCTCATTTAATAAATCTAACTCAATGTTCCTTTCTGATTACGTTTAACCACAAATTTGTTTGTGTACTGTAACAATTTTTATTTTTCCTGGATAGTAACAGAAAAACCACTGGGTTCTAAAGAGAGGTTAATACCTGTTGAACTTAGGTTGAGAACTAATTAGGAGGAAATACTTAACTGCTTGGGTAAGCACATTTCTAGAGATTCAAAATATTACAAACCAAGCTGCTTTAAAAAGAAAAACTTTTGACTAGAAAAGATTTTTAAATTAGGAATTACAAAAAATCTTACCTGAGTGTTAGTAAAATTATCTATGCGACAAGTTTAACAAGGCTGACATTCAGTGGAAAACAGTAAATTTGCTTTTAGCAATCAGAAAAACTTTAAACCATTCTTCATCTCTTATTATAAGCCACTCTTATTAAAGCTTGCGATTTTAATGAATGGTAAGTGTGTGCCTTTAATGTGTCTTTCCATCGGAAGAGTCTGACACAGTCTCTTTCTCACTTAACCTTCAATACTCTGTAAAAAGAGTTCTGAAACACGGTGGTGAAGTAAGGACTTGCTCCCTGGAGCAGGGTGCTGCAGAGGGAGGGGTTGGCTGAGTTGGAAGGGTCTTCCAGGTCCCAGATTTCCAGCATACTGCAACCTGGCCTGCAAGAAAGGACATGAAAATATCCCCAGAAAAATGGATTCATACACAGGCAAAGAGCATAAATCATACAGTTTCTCTGAGATTTCCAGAGATTAACTTATTGAACAAAGATTTTAAAGTATCATTTAAAAACAGATTTAATGTTTAGAACTAATAAAAATGAAGTCTTTTGCCTTTCCAGGTTCCACTTAACCAGAGCCTATGATACGTCCTAGTAATAAAGTTCTGTGTACTTTCAGAAATATGTATTTAGAAGCTCACTTTTAAAATAAAACAAATAAATTTTCTAAGTATCATCACCATCCAAATATAAAGGTACAGTACAGCTGTGGAATGGGGTTATTAAAGGAAAATTAATAGAATTCCTGATGAAGTTCATAATTTTGAGCACAAATTGCCTTCGATTGGTAGCAGAGAAAGGAAGTTCTTAGCCCAAGTTTGTTCTGTTCAACCCGCTCCCTTTTGAGGTGGCTCTGTGAGTAGGCTGAATGAGATGATGTTCTCACTAGAGAGAAGCTCTGTATGGAACTCATCCAGGGGAAGGAGACAAGCAAAATGAACTTTTAACATCTACACTTAGGTTTAACCTATGTACTGTAAAATTCACCCATTCCCTGTGTAATGTTTAAACACGGCCAAGTGTGCATAGATGTGTAAACCATCTCATTCTACTGTTAGTCATGATTCAAAACATCTTCAGTAGAATGTCTCTGCAAATATTTTGGCAAATTTTGTGTTGCTTCTTACCATCCCAGTCACGATGCAGGAAATTTCCATCATTAGCAAGTTCTCCCACGACCTTCCACAATTTCCTTCCCCTAACATGGCCTTGGGCCAGCACAGATTCTGCCCTACAGAATCCAGAATTTCCACACGCATGCATTAGGTGGACTTCATTTCTAGCTGCTTCACCATAGCATATTTTTAATGTTATGGTTCCTATAGTTCTTTCATTTTTGTTACTAAATAATATTTTGCTCTACACAGATGCCATTCTTTTGACTATTCGTTTGATCATTTGAAGTACTCTGAGTTTCTGGTGATGGTGAAGGAGGTTGCTATGAAAACCCATGGACAAAGATTTGTGTGAACATGGATTATGTGTTAAGGAAATGCCTCGTAGTAGAACTGCTGAGCTGTATGGTAAATGTAACTTTATAAGCAATCTCAAAATTGTTTTCCAAAGTCAATGCACAACTTTCTACTTCCATAAAAAAATGTAAGGGAGTTCAAGTTGTTTTACATTCTCACAAATACTAGGTATTTTCAGTCTTCATAATTTTATTTATTCTACTGTTAGTCATCATTCAAAACATCTTTAGTAGAACGTCTGTGCAAATATTTTGGCAAATTTTGTGTTGCTTCTTACCAGCACTGAGGTATAAGACCTTTTCAAAGATTCTGGATAAAATGCCTTGTCTTTTAGCAGATTTAATAATGCATAAATGATCAGTAATGACTCAGTGGAGGGCACATATTTAGTTTACAGTGCGATACATTTCATCGAGTACGTACTTGTGAAATCATGACAAAAAAATATAACAAATCCATCTACCTCTCCCACAATTTTACTCCTGCCATTTTGAAATCTTACTGTATGGCCCCATACTACTTCCCTTCCTGGGCAAACACGTACCTGCTTCTTGTCACTACAGATTACTAGGCATGTTTTGGGACTGTGGCTTGCTTTCTTTTCTGTCTTGCTCCTTTTCATCAAAATACTTATTTTGATATATATCCATATTGTTCTATTAGGAGTTCATTCTTTTTTATTGATAGTAGTACTGTATTATTACAGAATAATACAGTATTATTACAGTAGCTGCAATACTACAGTAACTCTGTATTATTACTGAATAATAATAAGTAGTACTGAAATATTCCAATAATGTGTTTACTCATTCACCTGTCCAGAGATATTTGGATTATTTCCAGATTTTGGCTATTGCAAAACTGAGCTGCTACGAACATTTGTGAACAACTGTTGGTATGGATGTGTGCTTTTTTTGATCTTGTATGAATGCACAGGTGAATGTTTGATTCTTTAGAAAACTGCTAAACTGTCTAACACAGTGGTAGCACCATGTTACATTCACATAAGCGTGTGAGAGTTGCAGGTCTCCATGGGTCTGCAACACTTGCAGTCTTTCTTTAAATTTAGTAAATGTATTAGGTAGTTAACAGTATTTCATTCTTATTTTAATTGCATTGTTTCTAAGTTCTGAGTTCTTTATACATCTAAAGTTCTTATCAAATATAGTCTTTTTTTTTTTTTTT